GATTTAACTGAACAAGTGTTGATTGACATACCTTGTGTAAAACACAAATGTTACAAAACAGGCGATTTATGTCGATTAGATGAAAATGGTCTGATACATTTCATCGGTAGAAAAGATTTTCAAGTAAAGCTCCGTGGTCAACGGATTGAAATAGGCGAAATAGAACATGTTATTATGAAATCATCACCTTCTACGATAAACAATTGTGTTGTTATGAAAATCGATGACCGTTTAATTGCATATATAGAATCTCTAGAAAATGATGATAAACAAGTGAGAGAATATTGTCAAGAACATTTACCTCAATACATGATTCCATCCATGTTTATTTTCCTCGAAAAGTTTCCTCTTAATTCAAATGATAAATTAGATCGAAAACAACTGCCTAAACCAGAGTTTACTTTGAATACAGTTAAACATATTGAACAGTCAGAAACAAAATTGGAGACATTGATACGTGATATGATTGTTGTGGCATTTGATTTAAAATCTTCAAATATTGATTTAACAATGTCGTTTGATCAATTAGGTATAACATCTTTAGGTATAATGAAGCTATTAACCTTAGTGCGACAGAATATGTATCCTAAAATTGAATACAATATTCTGATATCAAATCCATCAATTCGTCAATTAGCGTCAGTATTACAACCGTTGATTGATACCACTACTGACACCGACAAAAGTGATGAAAAATGTTTAATGAGAGAAGATAAAGAGTATAAAAGTCCATCATTCACAATCGAATCATTAGCGATATTGCTGTTGATATATCACTATATATTTCCAGTCTGGATAATACATTCAACAATAATTTCTTTTAGTAAAGTAAACTCCATATTCATGATTAGTCTTATATATGTCTTTTTTGTACCTATGTTACAATTATTACACTACAAGTTAGCACAATATTTATTGTTCTTTAATCGTAACATTATAAAACAAGGTGAATACCAACTATTTTCAAGAGACTATTATTCATGTTGGTTCTTGCAACGTTTATGGTCACTAAATACATTACAAATAAATTTATTATTAGGTACACCATTTTACAATTGGTATTTACGATTGTGTGGAGCACAAATCGGCAAAAATGTTTTTATTTATACGTCATTTATTGATATGCCACATTTGTTGATTATAGATGATAATTGTTATATTGGTATGGAAGTTATATTAAATAATTTTAATTTTAATAGTACAACATTTGAATTAAATACAATTCAAATAAATTCAAATTGTATTATTTTAACTCGAAGTGTTCTATTTCATCATGTTCATTTAAAACAAAATTGTTTTATTAAATCAATGTCAGGTGTGACTGGTACGCATGAAATGAACACAATAATTAATGGTAACCAAATGTACGTTGATAACAATGGCGAGGATATTGTAAAAAGTAATCAAAAATTCAATTCTAATTTATCATTTTTACAATGTCTCTATCAAATGTTATGTCTAATATTTATACTATGTTTATATGTTATTCAAATTTATTTATTATATTCTATTCATAATAAGACATCATTATCAAATATGACTTTAATTATTGTTTCACCATTCTATCTCCTATTATTTTCATATTTATCCTTTCTTATTGTTGTTTTTCTATTAAAATTTGTCATTGGTGATGTTCAACAGGGTAAATATAAATTAAATAGTTGGTATTATTTACATAAAATATGGTTTAGACAATTGATTGTATTAAGTTTTAATTATATATTTATTACTACTTTTTTTGATAATAAATGGTATATAATAATTCTACGATATTTAGGTGCAAAAGTTGGTGA